CCCCCCCCATGTGGACATGTTGCAGTGATCCTGGCTGTGCTTTTCATTCATGACTTTATACTCTGAGGTCCCAGAACTTATGTTCCTTGTGGTGCACTTTGTGTATTCAGCCCGCACACCATCCCCCCGTCATGGAGGACAGACGCAGAGGGCAGCTGGATGCTTTGCTGTAATAAATACAAATATGTGCTCTACACCACACCTAAGGGCGGCCATTTTATTTTACGGAGGACTCCCGACCTTCTAACATTTGCTAGATGTTGCGTGATTGAAAACAGCCGATAGTCACGGACAGGAAGAGAGATTCCTCAAGATAAGAAAGAGTGAAATGCAATGACAGGTCCTCTTTAAATGTCCCTGACGCCATCTGCACCAATGAGGTCAGCGACATTCTCATTACACTGATGACTTACCGGAACCTTCTGTCTTTCCCCGCTGTGTCCAGAACTCGTCCATCAGGTAGAACCACTTCCATATTGATAACGTTGTCACGCATTGTGCCGTACCGTACTGCGTTTGTCCCGGACGCACTTGTGGCCGCCATACCACATATGGAGGCATCAGCCCCTGGATCTGAGAAGTCAAAGTGAGATGTCCTCTTATATCTCCATCAGACAGAGCGGGGCCACACGTTACATTCTGGGGGTGCTTCCCGAATATTATACATTGTGGCGATCCTTCCCTTCCCAACACACCCCAGGCCTCCTTCCCTTCCCAACACATCCCGGGTCTCCTTCCCTTCCCAACACATCCTGGATCTCCTTCCCTTCCCAACACATCCCAGGCCTCCTTCCCTTCCCAACACATCCCGGGTCTCCTTCCCTTCCCAACACATCCCGGATCTCCTTCCCTTCCCAACACATCCCGGGTCTCCTTCCCTTCCCAACACATCCCGGGTCTCCTTCCCTTCCCAACACATCCCGGATGTCCTTCCCTTCCCAACACATCCTGGATCTCCTTCCCTTCCCAACACATCCTGGATGTCCTTCCCTTCCCAACACATCCTGGATCTCCTTCCCTTCCCAACACATCCCAGGCCTCCTTCCCTTCCCAACACATCCCGGGTCTCCTTCCCTTCCCAACACATCCCGGGTCTCCTTCCCTTCCCAACACATCC